GAATACTCACTCTTATCCCTAAAGAAGCTACCAAGGAGAGGGAAGCCTCTGTCATTGCACTCAGAACCTGTAATAACTTTGCAACAGATGTACTATCAAGCATGTCTTGTACTAGCTGAGTATTGGTAGTTTACTGTATACTGAATAAGGGCATGTGAATGCACCTTATTTACAGGGGTTTGAGTGTTCTTTTCTCATTTTAATTAATCAACTTTTTAGTTGCCTTTTCAATTTCCTAGCCCTCAAATGTATACAATTTATTTTCTCTGAGTTTTGAATATGAAGTATCTGAAGCAAACAGATCAAGCTGGTTTGGTGCCCTGCTGGGACCTGACTGAAAGTAGCTCTGAAATGATCCCTGATATTCGGTCTGACACCCCTCCGCATACAGACCTTGGCTGGATATGGCCAGCCTTTAGTCATAGCAACATTATTCTACGTGCTCATGAGACTGAAAAAGGGCAGGGGCACACTGAGACAGTGCAGGAACGTGTACGAGAAACTCCCTGCTTGCATTTGTAAATAACATTTCCCTCACCACCCCTGACAACTTACAGGCTGCCAAGGAAAAACAAAGCATCCCAGCTAAAGAGCCACAGCTCTGCGGCAACAGCTGTCGAAAAGCATCAAGCATGTGTGAGTGAACTGGACCAACAGATCTTGAAGCAGCTCCACTTACCCTTGGACTGCTGAGAGGACTGGTGGAGAGCCCAGACGACGCTCCGCTGATTGACCGAGACCTGAATGGACACAACAAGGAAAAGAGCCCTCAGAAAACTTGGCCAAGCAAGACCCCCGAACACCAGCCACCACAGGCACAGGCATGAAGTGAGGAGGAGGAGGGAGGCTGTCACTGGAGAAGCACATGACTCTTCCCTTTCGCTACTGTCACGTTTGTCAGCTGTCCCACCCTCAAAACAAAGAAATGCCGTTGCTCAGGGACGATACTATAATCCCTTCTCATCAAGGGAGTTGCTACCTTCTTTTTGGTCATCAAGCACATGGAAGCTTCTAAGTCTGACCTGAGTAAGCTGAATTCGAAAAGGCACACCATCGCGATGGAAGCTCACACGGGCGTAACCCTTTCCAGTTTCTCACTGATGGATTTCACGTCTCTGCTCTCCAGTAAGATCTCCTGCCGTTGCATTAAACAAGCCAGCTCTTCCCTCTGGATAACCAGTTCTGCTGTTGCTGCTGACCTTACTAATATCAAGATAAGAGCCCAAATGTTCTCAGAAAGAAGCCAGTCAAGGGAGAATAAACTGTCCCTCTATTTGCTGACAAGGTCACCTACACTGTAACGCCCTCATGCTCTCCAGCAAAGGCCACCTACGAAAAATGTCAGCTGCAGGCAACAGAACGCACAAACGGGCTGTGCTCAATGTGCTGAAAGGGGAGGCAGGCTAAA